ATGCTATCCTATTCGGCAAACCTAGGCTGATTCCGTGTGTGTGTGGTGTTTTTGGGGGGGGGGGATTGGAGGGAGGGGGGTGGAGGCATTATTAAATTATAAAAAAGTCTAATTATGAGCAAAACATTTCTTTTTTAAATCTAATTCACACATAGACGTATGAACCGGGGGGGGGGGGGGGGGGGGGGGGGCAAGGGTGGCCCCACCCACCCACACACTTTTTTTTTCAAAGATAGACATTTTCTATGTATTGAAAATTGGGGTTTTCCTTTATTAGTTGGTTTAGCCCCCCACTTTCAATGAGCATCCCATCCCAAAATTCTATTTCCTTCCGACGCTTATGAAGAATATAAAACACATATAAGAGGCTCTAAGTCATAGGTCACATAGTCACAGAGTCTGAGAATTTTATATTCAATGTGTCGAATACATGTAATGTGTAAATTATAGAATTATATCGACTTTTCCTTGGAAAGGTCAATATGTACGAGTGTATATTTAGAGGCAAACACCTTAGTGCGGGTACTGTCTCATGACAGCATCTACGATCTTTGTATCTATACATATTTTTTTCTCTTATTCTTACCAAGTCACGCGCCAAACAGTTAATGTTCTTGAGGTTGCTTTGGCCGAACTCGGTTGAGACCCCATACAATTATACATACGCATTAGTACAATTCCCATTAAATCCGAACTCATACTATAAAAAGAAGATATCAACAGTGTATTGATTTTCTCAGAATATTTGAAGCATACCTAATTGGGCGACCTTAACCTATCTGTGATGGAAGATACATTTAATTAGCAACAAATTAGATTTTAGATCACTCAACATACACCTGTACTGACCGTCCACGGTAGCTCAGCTGGTAGAGCGCTCACTCCGTGATCGGGGGGTTGTGAGTTCGTATCTCGGCCGCAACTGACCTAGTTGTTAAAATGGGTAGCGACTGTTCCTTCGACATGCACTCGGCACTTTAAAGTTAAAGTTGCGGGACCTTCGGATGAGACCTTAAAAACCGAGGCCCCGTGTAAGCGGCAAGTGTTGGCACGATAAAGATCCCTCACTGCTCAATGGCCCTGAGTGCTAAGTAAAGGTCAAAATTTGAAGCCCTTCACCGGCATACGGTGACGTCTCTATATGAGTGAACAATTCTCGAGAGGGACGTTAAACAAAATACAATCAATCAATCAATCAATACACCTGTTCTGTCTTACAAACAACTTTGACCTTAGATAACTCATCATACAAATCTACTGTCAAACAACTTCGATTAGAGTTCACTCAACCTTAAATCTTCATACACGTGTATTTCTTAGAAACAACTTTGATCTTAATTCATTCAACATTAAATAATCATACATGTGTATTGTTTTAGAAAATTTTTTGATCGTAAATCATTCAACCTTAAATATTTATACACGTGTATTGTTTAAGAAACATCTTTGATCTTAGATCACTCAACCTTAAATCACTAGCAGCAACTTAACCACGTCTGGTGGATTAATTCTTGTACATCTATGTATATATAAGATTGTTTTGGAAAACATGAAAATGAAGAACATATCAATTTATCACATAAGGAAAAATCTATTGAATACACTTTTCATATACCTAATGTGTATCACTGAATTATACTGTTGATTTTACGCAATCATGTGACGTCGTGATCCGACTTTCCGGATCACTACACTGTGGTTTTCTGAATCCATATCAATACTATCTGAAACTGATGACGTATTACGCAGAAAGATGACGTTATTTTTCTTGCGCGTTAACAATCAATTGTTATTATGCTTTTTTTATGAATAAATATAATACAATTGATCTCTTTAGTTTTATTTTGCTATATTTAACTAGTTTAAAGGGGATATATAATACATTTATCATTATAACAGTAACTTGATCCAAAGAGTCGTATCACGTCAAGTTGACAGGCGCGGATTACTAGATCTAACGAGAGGCGAAGCATTTCTTAGCGCACACTATCATATAAATAATATATATTTATTGCCCTACCTTCTCGGACGATATCTGCTTATCCTTTTCTGCTTTGCTTTGAAGCAAGATATATAATCTTTATACACAGGTACATAATCTCATCATCTTAGTCACGTGATATCAGTGATGTATGTTTCAGATAACGAGGAACATTTTTATTTTCCTTTTTCTGAAATATATATTTCCTTATCACCATACAACATGCATTAATGGGTCGTTTTCTATTTTCCTGATACTTTTATGGAATTTAATAACTCCTATTTGCCCTTTTACAGTATATTAACAGCGCTTTTGAAAATTAAATAACAAATTTGTTCAATTACGCTTAGGCAACTGAAAATAATGTTTAATTAAATCAGGTGAATGTTTCTTTTAATTTCTATCAATATGTTTTGTTAAATATCATCGAATTACTATTAATTCGTTTTAAATGTGCTGTTTATTCTTGCCAGAAAATTTATTTGGTTTAAATAAGTCATAATAAACATGTTTTGTCTTAGAGTCTGCCGTGATCTGAGGACACTGATCCTTAATAAATAAGGAACTTTAAAATATTATCAATGCGATAGTGTTTAGGTCTCATTAAATGTGCTTTTTGACAAAAAGCTAGGGATAAATAAGTTGTCATCAACATGTATTGTTTTAGAAACTGTCCATCATATTTAGGTCACTGAGTCTTCGATCACACTGACAGCATCTAAAGCCGGATTATTAAAATTGCTATGTCTTAAATACAATCCTGGTGTTAAGTCACTCATTCTTAGAATTATAATTGTTATGCCCTTAACTATTTTTTAACATCTATATTTCTTATGTTTTAGCCACAATCCTGATGTTCTTTTTCTTTTTTTTTTTGCCTTTTGAATGTTTCCGTGTTATCAGAGCTGAAATTGTTCATTTTTCAAAGCATTTCATTTTGAAAATGTAAACAATATTTTTTTTTATATTCAATTGATTCCACTAAATTAAATTTTGCATCAAATAATTCGACTGTAACTCATGATTCCAAAAACTTGTGAAGACTCACTAACTACAAACATAATATTGTATTTTTCCTTCCATCAGATCTTAAATGTATCCCTTGATCGAAACTGTTTTGATTTGACACTGACATGCCTTTATGTAAGTTATCTTAGAAAACAAATGTGAACATGTGGTTAGATAACCCGAATAACATGTATTTATCAGGATATATATGACATTTATGATCTTAAAAAACATATATTAAACAAATTTGTTAGTGTGAATATCAGATGCTAGCTATTTAATTTCCATTTATACAGTAACGCTTAAGGGTTTTTAATCCATGGTACTTTTAAACAATCTTATTCGCACTTATTGTCTAATGAATTGAAATCTGTTGTACGATATATAAACAGTTTTTAGTCAATTAGTGTTCTTCATTAATGCACTAGACAGCAAAAAGTAATTATAGGTTGCAAATCATACAGCATATATCAAAAGAAAGACTGGATTATACCAAGAACAGTGCGATACCAACTTTAACTTCTATGATATCATAATGGTCTAAAAGCTATTTGATCTGCTACTAATGAGACAACACATTTCCGTTGGACTCCTAACATATATCATTAGATACTTTAAGGCTTGCTACTCTTTTTGAGAAGCTATAATTAAATTAAGGCTTTTATAAACAGCTAGATTATATTTTAAGCAAACAGGTATTACTTGACACTTAATACTTAAAGGTTACCTGCGGTAGAAAAAGATTTGTATATATTTAATTGTTTACAAAAAAATTAGGATCATTCCAAAAAAATTGATCGGAATACGTCGTGTATTAGTCGAGATATTTCGAAAAATCCCGAAATCACACCTAAACGGTTTACTAAAACACGCGCTTTTGCGACCAAGATCGCCGTGACGTCACAACATGTACCCGCCGTATCAGTTACTGAGTAAGGAAGAAGTGCATCGGAACATTCAGTGGATTTTTTTGGTGTTTTCGGCATCATTAGATAGATTAAGTGTATATTGCATTTTCAGTAGTGATTAGTTTTAGTTTGATCATGTAGGATTTTCGTGAGGATTAATGGACATGTTTTATGTTTTAGATCAGAGAGTGCGCTCATATTATTTTTCTTCACTGAATGTACTCAATTATTATATCTTTTACCTAAAAATTCAAGAACATTGCAATTTCATAAAGCTACTTCTCCAAGTCCTGAACTGTTATGAGAATATTTTTAATATGATATGAAAGCATCAAGTCTCTATTTTATTTTAATTCTTCAAATAGAAAATCAAGTGTTGATCAATTAATTGGTATATCTAAAGGGCCATTTTATACATAAAATGAACCGACTTCTTTGTTCACATATACATTTTAAAAAAGAAAATTAGATTTTTACAGTTTTTATTTCTGTTGGTTATAAGCAGTCTATGCTTGACTTTGAGAGAGTCAGGGAAGCAGAATTGACTCAGGAGGAAGAAGACACAGAGGAAGATATCGAGGAGCCTGCACAGACATTTACACAGGTATTTATATCTTATATTCTAAGCTGAACATGACTCGTAAATAGGAATACACCATTTTCAATCATTATCTACAATACATCAACGAAAGGATATACTCTTCAGATTCATTACACCTGACTGCTTTATTGTCATGAGTATTGGTGTGGAATGACGACATGTGTTCGTGCTAGTTATCTTGCATTACATTTGTTTACATGTTATTGTAGTTATGTGTATTTGTGTTTGTTTGTGAACTGCACTGACTTCATCATTGCAAACCATAGCCAAAATGTCCCATTCTGGCCATGGTTGAAGAATTTTCTCGTAGTTCATTAAACATTGACCAATGCGAGTAAAGCAAAGTCGAATAATGAACTTTGATGTGACCTTTCAATACCCAATCGCAGTGTACGAAATATTTCTTGTGTACTGCTGGTGTAAATTGTTGATTTCAATTGCGATGGATACAACACTTGTCATTCACTGAATATAAAGGCGTAAATACTCAAGATTACAACACTTTTTTGTGATCAAGCAGCCATGGGTAGGAGAAAGCTAAATGTGGACTCTGTACTGGCTTGAAATGATGCACTGACCTATAATTGTAAGTTTCTTTGGTATCTTATTTTCCTGTATTAGACGAAGTATTATGTTATTACTGACGCTACTGAGTGATGTATAGCATACATTCGTCTACACTGGTGTCAACTTATTACACTGAACAGTGACTAAGTCATAGTCATTATATAGGGGTCTGCAGCAAGATATACCGAGAATACCAAACAAAAATTGCGGACTCATTCCTTTTACGAATTGTGTTCAGCTTTCAATTAATTTTTCCTGTTTGTATATCCCTCTATGGAAATTTTCTATCGATTAACACACCTGAAATAAATTTGTGATGTACTTAATGAATTCATCTCATATTATCTCCTTTTTCAGGTTGATGATTGTCATATGAAGGAAACCAGAACTGTTGGATTTCAGTTTTCTTGTCCTAAGCCACATAAGAGATCCCTTGCCACACAAACGAAAGTGAAACGGAATGACAAAGGTTTTAATTTTACTTAATATATGGTTTTCCTGAAGCAAGAGTTATTTCCTCATGGCTGCCATATTGTAGGTCAACATTCTCAGATCCCTTTTATTATTTAACATAAGTTCAATTTGTTTTGCTAGGCACTAAGGTGACCGTAGCACTGATTTTCTTATGAATATACATTTGTTTAGTCATGATAGTAAATGAATATGCATGATACATTTGTGAACATTTGGGATTTTTTTTTTGTTAAAAGAAACACTTGTCATTTTTGATTGATTTTTTAAGTGGTCCACACAATGGATACAACTGTAAAGTCCAAAGAGATTGGAATTAGTTGCAACTTAGAATTTGAGAATGCCCATAAAAACGTAAGGTTCTGGAGAATAAAAGCACAACAGAGACACATGACAGCTCTCCCAAATGTTCGAAGGGAATGAAAGTAAGGTTTGTACTCATTTGATCTAATTAAAAATTATAGACAAAAAGTTACATAATAGAGGAAGTTGAACGAGCTCCTGAGGTATAAATATGAAAAACAAAACATTTTAAGAGAGGAGTTAAGGAAACATTGACCGGATTTTGAAACATTACAGATTAAGTTTAGAAAACTGTGACTATGTTCACAAATGGTGGGATATGACAAAAAATCAGATTAAATTAATCTCTATAGAAATATCAAGAACTTTCATAACAGCAAAATAAAATAAAGAAATATGAAAATTCAGAAAAAAATTGAAAATATTAAAATTAAACTTAATAGGATAAAAAATATATGAATGCCATTGATCAGCAAAAGCCTAACGACGTTCGATCTTGATATTTAAAGTCTTAAACATTTTTTGCCAAGTATGTTTTAGTTTCTACATACAAAGCTTAATTAAAATTCAAATAAAAAAATTGGGGTCAATATGCTTCTTTTGGTGCTACAGTACATTTAATATGACCTTTTTGCACTGAAATTTGTGTCTTAATTAAAATTCTGACATTTTCCCTCCAATATTTATATCCAATTACAGCACGAAACAAAATGAAATCCAAGTCTTTTAAAGAAAGACCCTTTAAAATTGTGACTGAGAAAAAATTTCAAATTTCAATTCGCAAAATCAATTTTTTACCTTTATGCACTAATAAAAAGTGATTTTTCTGGCATTGAAATTTAATGAGCCAAAAAATTATTTTAAAGTCTTAAACTTTTTTTCTGATTTTAAGCAAATAGGTCAAATTTATCTTGAATATTTAGATAAGAACATTAAAAGTGGGGGTACATGTATATGATGTAAATTTTCAGATATTACTAAAGAAGTGTCAATTTTACGTTAAAATTGCCTCAATTTACCCAGGATTTTTAGAATATATTCAATATATTTGTCACATTTTGTTGATAGAATTCATAAGAAATAATTTAATAGAAATTTCAGAACCAGCATTACACATTTCACTGCAAAAACGTCTTTGTGTGCAACCAGCATGGAAAAATAGGAATCCAAAATAAACAATACTGTTATATTTCAAAATGGAAAAAAAAACTGATCATTTTCGTCTAAAACAATCTTTCCGCCACAAAATATAGTCCCTATTTTAATTCTACTTGTATAGAATTTAATCACGTTTTTTTTTTCATTGAATATAGTTCAATTTGCATTTTAGAATTGAGATTTAATGTAAGAACTTAAGAATGATGCAGAGTGTTATAAATAAAGGACATGACCAAAATCAACTCAAAAGCTCAGGATCGAACGTCCGTAAAGATATGTTGAAAGATAATAATTAGAAGGTGACGTATCATCTTCTCATTTTTCTCAATTAGAGATAAAAGAATGGTAAAAAGATTTATTGATAAGAATGGAATGTGATAAAGCGACAAATAAGAATGATATTAATTCTTAAGGCTTAATGCAGAATTCAAGAAAGAAATGAATTAATCTGTCAACTTTGAAGAAATAAAACGTGTAATTTCTGTTGAGATTTAAAATCAACATGAAATATGCCAACAAATTTTGACTGTTACCTGATTTCCACACTCCAGCTTTCAATTAATTTCAATATGATTTATCCACTTTAATCTATCATATTGCAACATTCATGTCTAACACCAATTGATTCCAGTCAACGGTGGTGTGATCTAGTGCCTGCATTCACATTTCCTAGATATTGACACAATCAGATAGCTTGAAATTTTCTCTTAAAACTTTAAATAGGAAAACCGTCCTTAATTATGACAGTTTAAACGGTAAAAGGGAACATGACCCAATCGGCCATCCCCCCCCCCCAATCCACCAATCTCCTTTGACACAGAGATGCACCATTAAACTTTTTGTATACATTCACATTTTTAAAGGAGCTGGGGGGTTGTGGTCATTTTTTGACTATTTTGATCTCCTCAGGGTTCTTCACATTTAAAACTTCAACCATGGAGGAAGCTGCGCGAATGCGAAATGTGGCCTAATGCGTGTTAGAATTCCTAATCTTTATTAATCAATGATTGGTTTTACAATTTTTAAACGTAACCACCGCATCACAAAACAATGGAATAACTAACACTTTTTAAAGTTAAAAACTTGGTACAAATGTAATTAATTTGAAAAGGATTTATCCTGTATCACACAAATGTACCAAAATTTGCCTAAAACTGTGGTAACCTTCTGAGGGATTTTAAAGAAATAATACTTACATTCAGTGAAATTTTACTTATCAAAGCCATTAAAAATCCACGACGTTTAAATTTCTCTAACACACGCGAAACCTTGTCACCGCGCGTTAGAATATACAGAAGGAACTATAAGCATTTTCAATACTCTAGGGACACCAAAATGTAAAACGTTTTATTTCAATTTAAGAAAAACTATACCCTAAAAAATTAACGTAAAAATTAACGTTATGTGCTTTAAGAATTAATTTGTCACTTTTTTCCTCGCAATGTTGGTGTGCGTTATTTTACTTTGCAACGTCATTTAACGTCATTTGACGTCACAAACGGCTCTTACATCTATTTACCACGACAGTTTTGAAGGGCGCTTAATTCACATTTAAAATGAACGAAGTACGCGGGTATGTTAAGGAAGCATATAAGTAATTTCTCTAGAAATTCAGACTTTTTGAAGAAAATATGGTTAAATAAATTATTAAAACCGCTGATAAACATAAACTGTTATTTACTATTGCATACAGATGAAAGCGTGTCTAACGCAAAGACGTGCATCATCGCCATGGCATCACGTGACTTCTATTTATAGCAAAAATTTCCTTAATAAAAAGGCTTACAGAACAACAATACCCCGGAGTTTGATAATTTCTTGAGTATGTAATATAGCTGAAAAACATCTATTTTGTCTAAAACGTGCCGCTAGAATCCCACTATCTTGTCCGTTAAATATTTATTCCACACATTCGCACGAAACCTTACCCTTTGTTTTGAATTTTATACATATGAATCGTGATTTTTCGTACAACCATGCTTAACTCGGATTCTAGCAGCACTTTTCAAGTTTGTCAAAACGCAAACTTTCAATCTGTGCAAATAGCATGTTTTGAAATATCCAGCTTATTGTTGTTCTGCTGCATATTTTGTTCAAGAATAACGGACGATAGGCCGACCGGGATGCGTAATATAGCTGCCTGTCTTTGAAAGAGAATATAATCGATGAAAATAAATTAGCCTACCTGTTTAATTAATTGAACTCCATATGAATTTAACACAATATTTCCGATATTTCCTTTTAAACTCCATTTTACGTATCTTTGAACATGTCATCTTAGCCAAATTCTCTTTACACGACATGTTCAATTTCCAAGTTACTTGATGTACACATATGACGTCATCGGTGGTAGTTTTCAATCAAAATGACTGATACAGCAAAACAAAATACAAACATTTTATTTTTGTTAATGTTTACATGTTTCTAATCATTTTTTAGAGTTAAATTACATCACTAAATAGAGTAAATACCAATATTACGAAAACCTGATTTCTAAAATTGACGTCATCTTGCCTACTATGACGTCATAATGCAGCACTGACTTAGCCAAGGTAGAATTTTTTGTATGCTTCCTTATTCCCCCTGCGTAAGCAATTATGAAGAAGGAAAATTAGAGAATGTAAATATAAGCATTGAATTTATATTTTTGGATGCCTTCGGTCCTATAACACACCGTGCCGTGCCGACAAATTATCATACCGCGCTAACGCGCGGTATTTAATATGTCGGCACGGTCAGGTGTGTTATAGGACCGAAGACATCCAAAAATATGAATTCAATGCTTAATTGTTGATACAGTAAGTTAGTAACCATTGCAATATTTTTCAGAAATTAATAATTATAAGAATTGTAGCCTGTTGTACATGTATGAAATGTTTTGTTTCAATATGACTAAAACTGATGAATTGGTAGTATCTTTTTAAGTTAACACACAAACATTTGGACCTCTCACCAGGTCCCCCCCTTTTTTAACATTTTAAAATACATATCTACATATTGCATTTTCACCAAACTTTCATCAAGTTTTGTTTACTTCTCCACGCGCCCAGCATAAAAAATAGCGCCACACGACGTTTAATAACAACGGGAAGAAACTCTAAAACTATGACGACGATTAAAACTAAGACGGTGATTGAGACGTAAGTCCTATGCACATTTTATTAACAAGATAATAAAGTTAATGCTTTATTATTATCAAAACAGAGAATGGGAAACTGATTAAATACAGAAGAATATGAACATTTTACAGAGTATTTTTTTTTCTGGGACAGAAACTTGATTCGCATGCGAAACAATTATCATGGATTCATGCTCATAATTTTCAACTTCTATAAGCCCGTTTTCTATTCATGCAGTGAACATCTTGAAGTTTCCCAAAATTATTTACATGTGTAGGGGATAATAAGCTCTCAAAATATGGATTATCTGATTAGCTGATTGACTCTCCATTTAATTGTCACGCTTCACAGCATAGTCGCCGATTAACGACGTGTTTGTTTAGCACAGTCTGATATCCTTCAAGGCACGCAAGGTGCATGGCAGTTGTAATATACATTTAAATACAATTAACTACTCAAGTCATTAAAAAAGTAGGTGTTAGGACGAAAATGCAATAAAATTTAATCATGGCGGCTGCCAATTTTAACCATGGCGCAGCTCTTTTAACCCCTTACATGGCATATACACATTTCTACGCATCTGAATTGAAGAACGAGTCTAGCGTGAAAAAAATATTCTTAACTTTGTTATTAGAGCAAATACCAGAATAAATCTTGCACCATTGGAAAGAGAAAAAAATTACGATAAAATGATATACGATCTTCTTTTTATTGGTTGTACCACTTTTTTTTTGCTAGCTTGAGTTAAACTTTGGGCACTATTTGAGCGATTTTGCCAATA